GCAGCAGCAGCAGCAACAGCAGCAGCAGCAAACCACAGCGTGAGGTGCATTCATTTTCTACTGCTGCTGCTGGGGCGCTGCAGACCCTCAGCCCTGCTACAGCAGCGGCGACAGCAGCAGCACCACCTGCTGCTGCTGCTGCTGCTGCTGCCGCTGCTGCTGCTGCTGCCGCTGCTGCTGCTGCTGCTGCTGCTGCTGCTGCTGCTGCTGCTGACCTTGCTGAATTCCGCAACAAAGTCTACGAGCACATTGAGGTCGAGGGTGGGCACTGCTTGGGGTGTATCGACAGCTGGCAGCAGCAGAAAGAGCAGCCGCAGCACCCCCAGCAGCAAAGCTGTCTTTGCTGCAGCAGCAACTGAGGGCTCCGCCTGCAGCAGCAGCAGCAGCAGCAGCAGCAAAGGGAGCAGCAGCAGCGCACGCAGCAACATTAGCAGGAGCCGCAGAAGCAAAGAGAGAGGCGCCACACAGCAGCAGCAGCAGCAGCGCAAGCAGCAGCAGCAGCAGCAGCAGCAGCAGCAGCAGCAGCAGCAGCAAATAAGGCACTTGACTCACAACTTAATTACAAAGAACAGTAAATGAAAAATACAAACGGCCAGCAATAAATAAATAAACAATAAAAATAAAGATAAATAAATAAATAAATAACAAATAAATAATAAATAAATAAATAAATAAATGAATGAATAAATAAATAAATAATTAAATAATTAAATAAATAAATAAATAATAAAACGCACCAAACCGAAAGACACAATAAGTTTGAGGCCTTTTCCCCAGTTTTCTGCATTAGCAGCAAACAGCGGCTGCTGCTGCAGCGCTGCTGCCAGCAGCTGCAGCACGCGAGGCCCCCGCAGCAGGCAAATGCTGCTGCTGCTGCTGCTGCTGCTGCTGCTGCTGCTGCTGCTGCTGCTGGCAGCTGCTGCTGCTGCATCTGCTGCTGTTGCTGCTGCTAGGGCCTCCTCGTCGAGCCCCCGGCCTTCAACCAGCAGCAAAAACAAGGCGGAGAAGAAACGCTTGGTTTTGCCGTCTTCGTTTGCTGCTGCTGCTGCTGCTGCTGCTGCTGCTGCTGCTCCTGCTGCTGCTGCTGGAGCTGCTGCTGCTGCTCCTGCTGCTGCTGCTGCCGTTGCTGTAGCTGTTGCTGCCTGTGGATCAAGAGCAGCAGCAACAAAGGCGCTGAGGGGGTTCTCAGGCGCGTGCTGCAGCAGCCGCTTCGGCTGCTGCTGCAGCACCGGCATTGCTGCTGCATTTGCTGCTGCTGCTGGTGCTGCTGGTGCTGCTGCTTGTGCGGCTGCAGCAGCAGCAGCAGCACCTTGAGGCGGCATTATTGTGCGCTAAGACCTTCGGGGGTTTACTACCCCCATCAATGGCTGCTAGTGTGCTAAACCCCAAACCCTAAACCCTAAACCCTAAACCCTGAGCCTCCAGGCTCTCCTCTGTACGGCAAAGAATATATATGTTTTAAATAAAAACGAATAGAAACGAAATAAGCAGCAGAAGCAGCAGCAGCACAACCGCTGCCGCCTTTGCTGCATGCATGCATGCATGCCACAGCAGCAGCAGCAGCAGCAGCAGCAGGAGTTGAGCCGGAGCTGTACAGCTCGCCAGCTGGCGGAGGCTTGCTGCGGCACAGGGGATCTCCAAACTTTCAATTAAATGGAGTAAATTATTTAAAATGAATTAAATTTATTTAATTGAATGAATTCGTTGATGTGCTGCGTCGGCGTAGGGTGTACAGACAGCTCAGCAGCAGCAGCGCCAGGGCGGCAGCAGCAGCAGCAGCAGCTGCTGCGCGGGCTGTTGTATCCGCAAACGGGATTTAAAATCTGCGGATTTAAATTAAAAATAAATAAAATAAATGAATTAGAAGATAATTAGAGAAGGAAAAGGAGGCAGCGGAGCTGTCTGTACACCCCAGCCTGCGACCCCACGTTCGCCATGTGTGTTGGGGGGAGTTTTGGGGATTCCAGAAAACTAAAAAGTCCATTTCTTCGCTAAAATAAACAAAATCGGATAAAATTAGTTGAATTAAATATAAAGGAGCTCAAGAGCTCTGCAAAGAAGGGCGTAGACACCCTGGCTGCTGCTCGCAGCAGCAGCAGCTGCTGCTGCTGCACAGTTTGGCTGCTGCGGCTGCTGCTGCTGGCCTCGGCTGCTGCTGCTGCTGCTGCTGCTGCACTCCTATTTTGTGTTCTTTCGTTTCAATTTTTAAAATGGCTCCGCTAATGCGTCCCCTCTCGTCTGCTGCTGCAGCATGCGCAGCTCGCCTCTCTGCGAGACTGCCTGCAGCAGCAGCAGCAGCAGCAGCAGCAGGGCCAGCAGCAGCAGCAGGGCAGCAGCAGCAGCGGCGCCTGCTGCACACGTCACTAAACGGGGCAGCTGCCACAACAATTTCCCCTTCGGAAATGGCGAAGATTCTGGAGCAGCGGATCAGTGGCTGGACTACTCAGGTGGGGCTGCATGCGCGAGGGTTTAGGGTTTAGGGTTTAGGGTTTAGGGTTTAGGGTTTAGGGTTTAGGGTTTGGGGGCAACAGGGGGCTTTCGGATGCCGCTGGGGGCTGCTGTGTGTGGCGGAGGCGTGGCTGCTTGACTGCTGGGCCAGGCCCCAGGCGTAGCGCCTGGGGATTAGGGTTTAGGGTTTAGGGTTTAGGGTTTAGGGTTTAGGGTTTGTGGCTGCAGCAAAGCACTGCAGGGGAAGTTGGCCGCGTCTTCTCCGTGGGCGACGGCATTGCGCGGCTGCTGGGGCTGGGGAATGTGAGGGCGGGCGAGTTGATAGAGTTCCAGTCGGGGGCCGTCGGTGAGGGTTTAGGGTTTAGGGTTTAGGGTTTAGGGTTTAGGGTTTAGGGTGAGGGGTTTGGGGTTTGGGTTGTGGGGTCCGGGGTGGGGGTGC